ACAGTCAGCGCCACAAAAAAACTTTTCACTATTATGGCAAACTTAACAAAAACAAGAAAAGAAGCTAGCTTCGGCAAGTCGAAGCTTATATACCCTTGCAGTCATCAAATATGTCGATCAAAGTGCATAAGAGCTAAACAACATCGAAACTATCACGATTTTTCTATTCATTTTCCATATTTTCGACTATTGTTCGAATGGCAGCTATATGATATAGTTGTCCGATTTTGATAAAATTTAATAGGTATGCAATTCAAGAGCAGTAAGAAAACTCTATATTCCAAAAATTATGCTTGTCTGACGAAAAGCAACGATGGTTTAATTTTATTTCACATATTTCTACATAGATTTTTCGATCTTTCGTATGGCCGCTATATGATAACGTTGTCGGATTTTAATGAAATTTTTTTTTCGATTAAAGGGTAATTAAAAAACACCATGTTTTAAAAATCATGCTCGTGGAATAAAAAACAACGACGTTATAATTTTTTTCATTATGTATACTAATATTATAAAGAGGTAAAATTTGTTTGTTTGTTTGTTTGTTTGCAACGAATAGGCTCCGGAACTACTGGTCCGATTAAAAAAATTCTCTCACCGATAAAAAGCTACATTATCGTGGAGTAACATAGGCTATAATTTATTTTGAAAAAAATTGTGATCCGTAAGAAAATTGCAATATTGTCGCATATAAAGTGAGTTGCTACCTCACACTGACAAACACGCTACCATAGCATTTTAACTCAATTTTTGTGGTTTTCATTTATCATTTCCAAGTGAATTAAGTTTTTTCACATATTATGCAAACCTTAGTGTTCTCTGCTCAGTTAATTTTATGGACAAACGGGTATTGTGTTCACTGTGAAATTGTGAAAAAAAAAAAAGAATTTTTATTCAATTTAAGTTGAACTGTGAAAATTATGTGGATCGTGCATTTAAGGATAAATTCACCACTCTGTCCGTAGTCCAAAATGCTTAGAGGACGACGTGCAAACATTGGCCGCAGACATCCAAGCCAGCAACAAGTATATTCACAAAACTTAAGCGAAGAAAGACGAATGAGCACATGGAGATCATTGGCATCATTCAATCGCTTGGCATTCCAATATCACCCCACTGCGAACTACAGTGATAATGAAAATTTATATATTGGACCAATGGCGACTATATACCGATATTGCAGTGCGTTAAAGTTTAAAAGAGAAACGGCTGGATGGTGCTGCGCAAGTGGAAAAGTCAAACTGGAAAAGTGTTAAACTATCTTTCTATACTTCCATATACATATGTATTTGAAAAATGTTGCAACATTGACTTTCATGTTGTTAAATTGTCAGTAGCGGATTAAGTATTTTGCCGCCCTGATTAGCCGCCCTTTTTAGAGAACACATTTTATTTTTTTGAATTCGTTCATATTATTTAGATATAACATTTATTTTATAAAACTAATTTTTAAACAATACAAATAAATATCAACAACATAAATAACAGTTGTTATTTGTTCCTTGAGAACTAGTGAGATGTTCAAAAGGGGGCTTAGCTGGGGCCACCAGGCGGGTCGTAGGTTGCGGATAGCGAACGGCTTTTTTCATAAGGTAAGCTGTGAATAAGCGCAAGCTAATAAGCAACCCCGGACAAACAGCGGGCACACCGAAGTCAGTGTACTGATTAGAGCAGCGGTGCTCAACGCCTATACACTGAGTGCACTTTTGTTTTTGTAGATGCTCTGTGCTTATGGGTAGTGCGCGCATAAGCACCGTGCATATGGGCTTCTATTTGCATGCGAAACAAAAACAATTTTGCTTGTTTCTTCATTACATCTCTATCCGTCGTCACGCTTCGCTGAACGCAATGTATTTTGTTTTTGTTTTTTCCTCGAGCTCATGCACTGAAACTTATTTTTCTGTCTGCGTTGGTTTTTGATTTATTTCGTGGTGTACCATCGTAAGTGTAATGTTAAATTTTTTGGCGGATCAAAATGAGTGATGAATTAGAAAGCAGTTTTTTTGGCATAAACTTTAAATGCAAAGTACAATGCGTAATAAATAAAAAAAACCAAAAATAAATATTTAAAACTTTTTTTTTTCTCCAGTGCACAGCTGCGCCCCAACTAAAACGCGCCGCTACATATGTACACGTTTTCTTGTGGGTGTGTTAGTAAACGCACTGCCATAAGACGAATTTGAGCACCCCTGCTTTAAGCTATACAAGTTCGTTAATACGCGTCAATATACTTCCCAATATTGCGAAAATGAAACATCAATGTTATTAAATTTTTATTTTCTTCAAATTGTTTCTATTTTTAAAAAAATTGACTATAAAAGGAATATATTCATTTATTTGATTCTATAGAAATCATTTCGAAGAAAAAATATATTTTTATTTACGAACAAAAAGATGAATTCCAAATGAATACTTACATACATATATCAATTCATATATGAAACACCGGAATCATTAAAAATAAATTAAGAAAACATTGTTTAATTTTAGAAGCGTCTCAATTGTAAGATTAAGTTTACTATAGATACAATAAGTCAACAGAGCTTTGAAAATTCGTCAGCTTTTCAATATTCATTTCTGTTATAAAATATTTTTTATCAGTATTGCACTCACGGGTAAAAAAGTTAATTATAAAAAGAGTTACATTCTATTTTATATAAACTAATTTGTAATATAAAAAAAATCAGAATAAATCCTTAAAATGATTTGTCGTTACATTATATCAGATTTAGAATTTTGACATTCTGGAAAATTTGCCGCCCCCCAAGATGTGCCGCCCTAGGCCCGGGCCTCACGGGCCTAGGCGGTAATCCATCACTGTAAATTGTGTTGACCAGCAAACCGGACACAGGACCATCAGTTTATATATATATTTGTTGATTTTTGTATGGCAGCTATATGGTGGAGTTATCCGATTTTGATAAAATTTTATCAGAAACTCAATAGTGGTCAGAAAACGCCATCTAGAAGAAATCAAGTCGATCTGATCAAAAACAACGGCGTTAGAATTTTTTATTTCAATCTCTTGTATGAGAGCTATCCTATATAGTCGGCCAATCCGGCCCGTTCCGACTTATATACTGCGTGCAATAACTACACACCTTTTGGGAAAGTTTCAGCAAGATAGCTTTAAAACTGAGAGACTAGTTTGGGCAGAAACGGGCAGGAGGACAGGCGGACAGACGTACAGACGTATTTCGATTCAGATCGTGATGCTGATCAAGAATATATATACTTTATGGGGTCTGAGGTGTCTCCTTCACTGCGTTGCAAACTTCTGGCCAAAATTATAATACCCTTTGCTCTGCAAGGGTATAAAAATCATAATAATGAAAAAATTCAACTAAAACTATTTTTTTCCAATTGAACACCTTACTAACTATAAGAAAAATGTTAAATCTAGGCAATTTAACAATAGACATATTTTTTTAATTTAGCTTAATACTTAGAAATGCCGCCTTTGGCCTTAATTACAGATTTTACCCTATCGGGCATAGAATCGTAAATGAAAAACAAATATTCCTTCGTTATATCGTGTATCCATACTTTTTCTATAATATGTTTTAGCTCCTCCATAGTTTCGGCCTTTCGCTTTCTTATTTTTGCACCCATATAGGCCCAAACATTCTCGATTGGATTAAGGTCTGGGCTGTTTCCTAGCCAATCTAAGGACTTAATGCCCAATTCTTCCCTCAAATCTTTAGATAGAAAAATGTTAAATACATATACATAACTGAATAAGTTGTTTTGATAACAATCGGACACTGAGTAACACACAGATCGCGCTCGATGGCAAGGTGCAGAATCATCCTGAAAAATGGGTTGTTCTTCTTCTTCACTTATGGACTCAATGCTATGCACAACTCCACTTAAAATTATTTCTTTGTATTTTTCTACATTGACCATACCCTGAACCATTAAAATTGGTTCCGTTTTATATTTGGATATGCATCCCCTTACCATAACATACGGTGAATGCTTTACAATGGCTATGCAGCAATTTTCAGAATAACGTTCCCCACGTCTAAGGCGCACCTTAAAGATTCCATCAGATCCAATGAGATTAAATTTGGACTCATCTGAAAATAGCACTCTTGACCAATCAGAAACAGTCCAATTTTCCTTGGCCCAGTTTAGACGATTTTTTATCATTCGCGGATTCAAAAGTGGCTTTTTACAGGTGATCTTGCGAGCATTCCCATAGAGTTAAGCCGACGTTAAACAGTTCGCTCCGAAATATCTTTTGAAAACTGTTCATGTACCTCAGATTTTATCTGCACTGCAGTTTTGAAACGATCCTGCAGGCTCGCTCTCATAATAAAGCCATCTTCCCGCGACGTGTTGCATTTTTTTTAACCTGTTCCTTTTTTTCTTTTTACTTCACCGGTCTAACAATATTTTTTTAAAAAACGACGCACTGAGCTTTCATTGAAATGTGTTTCAGCCGCTATTTGCCGATTTGACACATTTTGTTCAGCCAATAAAATAATTTTGTCTTTATCGCGATCAGTAAACTGCTTTTTCTTTGGCAGATTTTACAGGTGTCTTTACAAAAAAAATTCTACCAAAAGCAACTTAAACAACAGTGCTCTTCAAATGACGAAATTATGTCGAAAATAGTCAAGGAAAGCCCCCTAAAAAAATAATGCTCAGAGAATACAATTTTGGGGAAACCCCAGCATAGTGACTGCACAATTTATACTGTAATTTAAAGCGTTTCAATCAATATCTTTGGTAAAAAAAAAAATGATTGCATCATCAAACCCGTTGGCGCCGCTGGTTTGTCATGGTTATTTTTTAAATCTTTATGAGAAATCATAATACTCTAGCTCTTTTAATTAATTTTAAAACACATATATAAATATGTAAAACTATAAATGTAAACTATGTAAAGCCAACAAATTTATCACTGCGTTTTTGTTTAAATTGGCTTACTAGCAGGCTATCTATAAGCAGAGTGGTTTAACATTAAAGTTGACTGTTCCAAACTTCGTATACAATTTGCGCTGAACATGGTTTTATTATTTGACGATTAATATCTCAATCTTATAACATATAAGTCCCAAACAAGCTTAACCTGCTGAAAGCGTCAAAATAAAGACATATATTTTCTTATAATATTAAACAAAACTCCTTTTTTTTACTGTTTAAAGCGTATCAACTTCTTAACATTTTATCCATCTACAGAAATTTCGGACTTGAGCTTATGTTGTTCTCTAGCGCTAAAAGGTATAAGCAATAGAGCGATGATATGCCCAACCCAATAGCGCCTCCAAGGGCACACCTGCGTAGGCCTGCTGTAAAGTGCAACAATTTTAAAAGCTATAACATCGTCTTATACGGAAATCCTACGCACCTGTAGATTTGTATAGCAACCCTGTGGCAGATCCGGCAATCACTGTGTTAACATGGTCATCCTCCCCACGGACGAACTGCAACAGCACTCCACACGCTGAATATAGCACAGCTAATGTACCTAGTGTGTTTGCTGTACCAGAACCTTGCTTCATTATGTGATTTATTAACCTGCGCGTTGTTTAAAAATCGTTATGACACAACCCATTTATTATATCTTGATTGAACCGAATCGTTTACTTACTGCGTTCGCCTCAATTTCCCCGATTGATTAAGCATGTTGGTGACTTTGAAACCATTATAGACACCCGCCATGCCTCCAATTCCGCCTCCAATCATAACCGAAGTGCCTATTTGCGAAAAAGCCAGTTCGAACCGTCCACGCTGTTTGTTTGCACCCTCTGGAAAGATGAACTCAGGCTGCTGCAGAAACCGCGAGTCATAGTTTAGATAAGGAGAGACAGGAGCGCTGCTTAACGAGCTTGAATGTGAAGTGTAGTTTCTTGATGCTTCCTCAACTGCACCGCATCATCGAAGTGTTTAAAGATTGCATTTCGTTTTGGAAATATGTAAATACAAAAGTCATATATGTAATATGCGAGTAGTATTGCATAACTAAAATCTGTTTTCTTACCAGTAGGTGCAGGCACAAGAGAAAAGGGTTTTCTTGAAAAGTCGTCACTCATTTTTGAATTTGTCCCGGTATTTGCCAAGAAATATTAAGCAATTATAAGCAATTATCTCAATAAGCTGTACGGTACGCTACACACTTATGCTTATCTTGACATGACATCTGTAAGCAAGCATGCCTATTTCTCAACACTGTTTAAACATTATCTATAAGTTTTCGTCAGTGATGTCAATTCACCTCACAAAAAAGCTAGATTTTAGAAACGGGTAATTCAAAATAAAAACCCCGTTCACACATTGCCTTCTGCTCTGTTTATCCAAAGTCACATATCATATTATTGCCATTGGTTCATCTTTGATTTACTTCGATACACGTACACTTTCAACACAGCCAATCAACAGTTTCTTTCTCGTGTTTGTGAATGAAAAATAATTAAGTGACAAAAAAATTCGGTAATTGTTTACAAGTGCGGTCTACGGTAAAAACAGCTTAAAAAAATAAAGTAAAATATGCAAATGATGTTTTTTTTTCTAACATTTCGAAATCCGTTGGCGGAAAGTGAAAATTTTGTACCGTTTTTTTGTTATTAACATTTAAAGATGCGATTGGTAGTACAAACTCGAATCTGAGTGACCGTAATTGCAATAATCCGCCATCAGACGACTGCAATAATCGGCACATCACATGCAAATACGGTCACTCGATCCGAATTTGTACTACAAATCGCATCTTTAATTGTTAATAACAAAAAACGCTGCAAAATTTTTACTCTCCGCCAACGGATTTTGCAGTTTAAGAAAAAAACACATCGTTTCCATATTTTACTTTATTTTTTTAAGCTGTATTTACCGTGCACCGCACTTGTAAACAATTACCAATGCACGGCAACAATATGCATGAATCAGAGTTGTAGATATGACGGATATCCTAACTGTTTTACATGGAGGGGCTGTGTGGGAAGAGTGTATTAAGGACACATAATTTGTAAACCTCTTTGTCGATTATAATTAAAACTTATCGTGTAATGGCAAGCAGATAAATGTTTAAAATACTCAAATATTCCGTATATCGATTTTTGTATCGATACTTTCACAGCTCTAACGCATGTGTAGACAATTTGTCTGAATTTATTCTATTGATACAATTTATCATTCTTATTTCATTGTGGCAAGTTGATCGTCAAAATAGATCCATTGGCGTATGTTGCGGGCGTGAGCAACGCAAATAAAAGCGTTTGCCTAAGCTCAGGAGAAAAAGGTGTTGTTGCTAGAGATCTTAGGAATAAATCGTTTTCGAATGCAGACGTGGGTTTATTCACAAGCCACCATCAACTAGTGTTTCATGCAGAGACGGAAGCCATGTCAGGTGATCAGAAAATATTGTTAAAAGGTCATTCTTCGCAGTATGTAAAAATAAATGTTGGTGGTCGTCTTTATTACACCACAATTGGAACACTTACCAAAAATAACGACACAATGTTGAGCGCAATGTTCAGCGGTAGAATGGAGGTTCTAACTGATTCTGAAGGTTTGCACTGAGTTATTTATCCAAACAATAATACAAATTAAAACGTTGTAGGATGGATTTTGATCGACCGCTGTGGAAATCATTTTGGGGTTATACTCAATTTTTTAAGGGATGGCACTGTTCCGTTGCCCGAAACTAACAAGGAAATCGCTGAATTACTCGCCGAAGCCAAATACTACTGCATCACAGAGCTAGCTATGTCCTGTGAAAGGGCTTTATTTGCGCACCAGGAACCCAAGCCTATTTGTCGCATTCCACTGATAACTTCGCAAAAGGAGGAACAACTTTTAATAAGTGTATCTTTAAAGCCTGCAGTTATTCTTGTGGTGCAGCGGCAGAATAACAAGTATTCGTACACAAGTACATCAGATGACAACTTACTTAAAAACATTGAACTTTTCGATAAGCTATCGTTGCGTTTTAATGAACGAATTTTGTTTATTAAAGACGTAATCGGTCCAAGCGAAATTTGCTGCTGGTCATTTTACGGACACGGGAAAAAAGTAGCTGAAGTGTGTTGCACTTCAATAGTTTATGCAACTGATAGAAAACATACTAAAGTTGAATTTCCGGAAGCACGCATTTACGAAGAAACCCTCCAGGTATTGCTTTATGAAAATCGAAACGCTCCTGATCAAGAGCTTATGCAGGCAACGTCTTCAGCACGAGTTGGGAGTGTCAATGGCACAAACATTCATCAGTATACCAGCGACGAGGAGGAAGAGCGTACTGGGCTGGCACGATTGCGGTCTAATAAACGAAATAACCCGTCATAGTTTAAGTATAGTATGCTACTTGACTATTTTGATTTTCCCGAAAATTAACGTTAAAATCGGTTGACGTTGGATTTATTATAGTATTAAAATAAAAATTACGTTTTCGAAAAAAACAAACAAATAAAGATTGCAAATTGCCTTCAAATCAAAAGCATGATCACGAAAACAGCTAACCACATAAAAAAAACAAGAAAGAAAGCTAGCTTCGGCAAGCCGAATCTTATATACCCTTGCAGTCATCAAATATGTCGATCAAAATGCACAAAGGCTAAACCCCATTGAAGCTATGACGATTTTTCTATAAATTTTCCATATTTTCGACTATTGTTCATGTGGCATTTATTTGATATGGTTGTCCGATTTTGATAAAGTTCAATTCGTTATTCACGGGACGTTAGAAAACTCTATATTCCAAAAATCATGCTTGTCTGATTAAAAATAACGATGTTATAATTTTATTTCGGTTCTTTCTATATAGATTTTTCGATCTTTCCTAAGGCAGCTATATGATAACGTTGACGGATTTATAAGAAATTTTTTCTCGATTCAAGAGTTAATAAAAAATTTTTTTTTTTGTTTGGGGGGTCCGATCAAACATTTTTTTTAGTTTATATCGTTGAAAGACCGTGTGCTGTAAGGGAATTTGAAAAAGTCTTAGATAAAATTGGAATTTTTATCTGTGCAAGTTTTTTTTCCCTCTGGCCTAAATTACCAAGCCTTGATCCAGATATTCCATCATCCTGCTCCTCATCTCCAAGAACGTCTATGTAAATAGACCTGCAATAGACAAATCTTTTCACGTCTTTCACCTGTTCTTTGATTAAGCTTGTGACGAATTGCTGGAAGATGAGAATTCATATAATCACTCAGCTCTCGTAGACCCTTAACAGAAGTCTTCTTGATACCCTTCAAACCAAATATTGCTTTTACTTGTGTCTAAAAGTGTAAGAGCTTAATATAAAGTTACTGAGAAAAAAAAAATAGATATAGAACGAAAGAAGGAAGCAGGTCCGGTATAGTACAGGCCTAGCCTTTGGTTGGCGATCTCTTGACTCCGTTGACCTTCTACATTTCAAGCATAACTTGGGTTGGCAGGGCTTCCAAAAGAGACTCCTTACTCTCGATACATGTTCTTTAAAATTGTATTCATTGTAATTTCCCTCGTTTAATATGTAGAGTATTAGAGATATGTATATGTCGGCGGACCGTTTGTATTATCCATCACTTTTATTAAAAATTCTCAGCAGCAAGTTCCGTTCGAATGACAGGCGCTTTTTGAACTGCCTTCCTAAGAGTCTACTTTCCAAATTTATACTTTCTACTCAATTCTTATACATTGTTAGCCATCTCTTTCTAAAATGTATGTCAGCGCTTAACGAACAGACCTCACTTGGCAGCAGTCTAAATCTGTCCTGCTCTGCCATGCTTTCACTCAATTTCTAACTTCCTTTTTTAATTGTCCCTGTTTCACATTAAAGAAGGCCCCGCTTCACCTGTCCTGACCAAGAGAACAAAGTAGGCCCCGTTTCATTTGATCCGACACGGCCTTCCTGACAAATCACACGTCCTCGTGTGTTACCTTAAAATCACAGTATTCTCAAATTTCAGTTCTCATTACATTTTATTATCAACAAACATTTCATTACATTTTCTTTACATAAGTTTTGAGGCATTTAGACAAAATAAACAAATTGATTTCTTAATTACATTTCACAAGTTACATTTTCATTTTAATCATAATTTACAATTCAGACTTGACTAATTGCATAGCTTTATCAACTGGTGTATTTCCTTTAACACCCACATACTGACCCCCCGCCATAACAAGTCCTTCTGTTATGGTGCGGTCATCACTAACCCCCGCCATAACAATTCCTTCTGTTATGGTGCGGTTATCACTAACCCCCGCCATAACAAATCCTTCTGTTATGGTGCGGTTATTCTATCCCCCTCTTGGGATTCCAAGGCATCCACCGTGCCTTCCATATCATCATTCCCCACATGGGAATCAGACGCTTCTGCACTAAAGTCGTCTAAATCTTTATCAACTTCGATATTTATTTGTCTATTTGGCAAAAACTCATGCGCATATTTGTAAGTTCTTTTGCTAGTTAAAGATTTTAAAGTGTACCGATCTCCATCTAATAGTTCAGTTATTTCAAAAGGACCTTTAAACTTTGGGTCAAGCTTTGTTTGGTGACGCTCTTCATTTTTTAGCAACACATGATCTCCTACGTTATATTTTATTATTTTTGCCTTGTTCTTATCAAATCTGCGTTTGTCGTAACGAGCACTGGATTCCATGTTTTCTTTAGTTTGTTTTCTTAAATTTTCCCTTTCAACTAAATTGTCCTCTTCATCACCTATCGGCAAAAGGCCAAAAGGTCTAGCTTCCCTACCAATTAGCACTTCTAACGGGCTGACCTTGGTGACTCGATTGGCCGTACAATTCATTGCTAGCTGTACTTCGGGTAAGGCGTCTTGCCACGACCTCTGACTGGTTTCGACAACGGTCAACATACTCTTAAGCGTGCTCATTACACGTTCCACCTGTCCATTGGCTCTGCTCGTACCTGTAGCAATTAAGTGTAGGTCAATTTTTTGAGAAACACAAAATTCACGGAATCCTGAACTTGCAAAGTTACGGCCCTGATCCGCTATAATTCGATTTGGGACTCCAAACAAACACACGACGGCTCTAACAGCCTTGATAGTATTTTCTGTGTCAATTTTTAAGGTGTGATAAAAATAAACAAATTTTGTAAACGCATCTACCAAAACAATAACGTACTCCTTTAGTCATTTTTTCCACTCATCTTTCCTGTTATGTCAATATGTAGGGTGTGCCACGGAATTTCTACCTTAGGAATCGGATGTAATTCGACCTGCCTTTTTCCAACTGGTGGCTTAGCTAATTTACAGGTGATGCAATTTTCGACAAACCTACGAACGTACTTCGACATGTTTTCGAACCAGTAAAAACCATAAACTTTATCCAACGTTTTCTCCCAACCCAGATGCATAATAGATTCGTGGACGTGATTAATCACTGCCCATCTAAATGCCCTAGGGATTACAGGCAAACATTTGGTTTTGCCGTTTCTTTGTATTTTCCTATATAAAACTCCTTTTCGCAGTTCATAGGTTTTATCTAGGTTTTCCGGCAATTCGTTATTTTTAAGCTTAACTATTAACTCTGCCACCTCAGGATCACGTATCTGTTCAGAAACTAGCCAATTATCAGTTATCTCAGTCAATTCAACCCGCTTTTCCACTATTTTTTCCACACTTCTATTCTCTTTAACCAGGGGATTCCTTGACAAAAAATCTACGTGTGCCATTCGTTCTCCCTTCGTATATTGAATGTCAAAATCAAACGACTGTAAAAAGGCCCACCATCGATACACCCTCGGCAATAGGTCCAATTTTGTACGACTAGCTTTCAGCGAGTTGCAATCAGTAAACACTACAAATTTTCGCCCCTGTAAATAATGACGGAAATGTTTAATGGCATTGACAACTGCCAAAGTCTCAAGTTCGTAAGAGTGGTATTTTGATTCAGCAGGTGATGTGCATTTACTAAAATATTCAACAACATGGGGCTTTTTATCTATTCTGTGTAGCAATATTGCTCCATAGCCAATTGAGCTGGCATCGGTGTGTAGTTCTATGGAGTGTTGAGGGTCAAATATTCTTAGCACTGGCTCCTGGGTTAGAAATGATATTATTTTCGTGCGAATTCTTTCATGCTCTAACTGCCAAACGAAATCAGAGTTTTTTCTTGAGGTTAGGGAATACAAGGGTTTTAAAGTCTCTGAAAATTTTGGCACAAACTGCCGGAAGTAAGACGCTAGCCCTATGAATTGCCTCAATTGCGTTACCGACTTTGGGGGTGGCAAGTCTGTTAAAACCTGAATTTTGCGTGGATTAGGGCGAACCTGTCCATTGCTCACAACAAATCCCAGATATTCTACCCTAGTTTTAAGAAAAGAACACTTCGTTACATTAAATGAAAATCCAGCCTTGCTCAAGGTTTCTAGCACAATCTGCAGTCGGTCTAAGGCTTCATCTTTAGTTTCCGCCACAACTAAGACATCATCAATATACACGATTGCGTAAGTGTGAGCCAGATTACCCAATGCTTTATTTATAGCGCGCTGAAACACAGACGGAGCGTTTTTTAAGCCAAAAGGCATAGTCAAAAATTCATATTGACCCTCAGGCGTGACAAATGCTGTACGCTCAATTGAATCGGGATGTACCGGTATTTGGTAGAAGCCGCTTGCCATATCGAGACTTGAGAAATAGCTTGCTCCACGTAACCTAGCAATTTGGTCTGAAATTAGAGGCAATGGGTACTTATCTGCTACTGTGTTCTCATTCAAAGCGCGGAAATCAACACAAAGACGGTCACTACCGTTTTTCTTCTTAACAAGCATCATCGGGCTAGCGAAAGGTGAACAACTGGGACGAATAATATTAAATTTTAGAAGCTCGTCGATTTTATAACGAACATGCTCTTTCTCATCTTCACTAAGCCTATATGGCCTGCGCTGCACTGTCTTTTGTGGATCTATTAACCTGATTTCCAAATTCCCTGTCGTTACACGAGTCTGTGGTATTCCGTCTATAAACCAGTCAGAATAACGTTTTAAAATGTTATTTAATGCCATCTTGTCGGAGTTACTCAGGTCGCCATCGGAATCTACAACATTATCATAAGTAGCAAAAGTTACGACATCAACTCTTTTTGTTTTGTCAATACTGAATTTTTCTGCGGCAATTGTAACACTAAAGCCCTGGCTTAATATTTCGCGGCCAATTAAAACATCGTATTTCAAATATTTGTCCATTACAACATGCAATAAAATCTCTAGGCAATACTGTTCAACATTTATATTGGAAAGAATTTGCATTGTGCTCCAGATGGAGTCGTTACCTATGCCATTTAGTTTTACAATATTATTAAGTCTTTTTCCTTTAAATTTCTCTGCAACACTTTCCTTAACTAATGAACACTCTGCTCCGGAGTCAAAGCAAAATGGAATGAGCTCACCGGATACATTTATGTTTCCCTTTGGCGGGGCCACAGTGCAAAAGTCCACACGCTTTTCGTA